GTGCCGGTGCCGGTGCCGGTCCCGCCCGGTGCCGGTGCCGGTCCCGCCCGGTGCTGGTGCCGGTGCCGGTCCCGCCCGGTGCACCTCCCGGTGCCGGTGCTGGTGCTGGTGCCGGTGCCGGTCCCGCCCGGTGCCGGTGCCGGTCCCGCCCGGTGTCGGTGTCGGTGCCGGTCCCGCCCGGTGCCGGTGCCGGTGCCGGTCCCGCCCGGTGCCGGTGCCGGTCCCGCCCGGTGCCGGGCGCCGCGAGCGGCCTCCGCCCGGCTCTGTCCGAGGTGCTGAAAGCGGCGGCGGGGCCGGTCCCACCTCCCCCCGCAGCAGCTCCGCGGCCAGCGGGGCTCACCTGGGCCGGGCCTAACCGGGCCGAGCCAGAACAAACAGGGCCGAACCGAGTCGAACCGGGCCGGGCCGAGCCGGGGGAGCAGCGCGCGCCGGAGCAGCCGGGCCGAGCCGCGCCGAGCTCCCCACGGGGTAAGCGGCTGCAGGGCGGTGAGTGCCCGCTGTGGGGCAGGGAGCTGCGCCGTGGGGCAGGGAAGGCTGTGGGGCGGGTCCTGCACCACAGGGCGGGCAGGGGGGCCGTGGGACAGGGAGCAGAGCTATGGGGCAGGACGGGCTGTGGGGCGGGCTGTGGGGCAGGGAGCAGAGCACCAGCCCCGCTGCGCCTGCCCTGAGACCACAGCCCAGGCCCTGCCCCACAGCGGCCCCAGGGCCCCCCGCCCCCCGGAACGCAGCCAATGGAGCGAGGGCTCTGCGGTGATGGACAGGCCTGTCCCCCAATGGGGACACAGTGTGGGGCGAGCTGGACTGCGGGCAGGAGGGGGGAGCAGCGCTCGGGGCAGCCCGGGCCGTGGGGCCGGCTGTGGGGCAGCGCCAGCTCGGTGGGGCTCTGAGGGGTGAGAACCACGCACCCCACAGCACCCCCACCCCGGGTGCCCCAAAGGGCAGGGCCACCTCGGGACCCCTCCCTGAGGAATGGGGTGAGCCGCAGCCCCCCGTCCCAAGGCCCTGGGTAGTGTCCGGTCCCACCCCCCAGGGACAGGAGACCCCGGGACCCCAGSTCTCGTGGCAGGGGCCACCCGGGCCCTGCAGATCCAGGGGGATGAGGTGGCCCTGGACCCACGCCATGAGGGACAGGTTGATGTGGGGGGTCCCCATGTCCCGAGAGTTGGGACAGTGCTGGATCCCCAGCCCGAGGCATGGGGGGATGTGGGGGGAGGTCCCACACCAAGGGAGGATCAATCCTGGGGCCTGMCCTCCCCACAGCCAGAGGAACAGGATGAGCCAGGACCCCGTGTCCCAGGGGACAGSGTGACCCAGACACCTCAGGGGTCCCCGGGCCTGAAGGGGACCCTGCGCCCCACACGCTGGGGGCAGAAACAGTGGGTGAGGGTAAGAGAGGGGGCCGTATGGCGCTCAGAAGGTCTGGGTCTGGGTCCAGGTCCCGCTCAGGGTCCAGATCCTGCTTTGGGCCTGGGTCACGTCCAGGTCCAGGTCTGGTTCGGGGTCCAGGTCTGGGTCTGGATCCCGGTCTGGGTCTGGGCCAGGTCCAGTTCTGGGTCCCGTTCTGGGTCCTGTTCTGGGTCCAGGTCTGTGTCCAAGCCTGGGTCTGGTTCTGGGTCCAGGTCTGAGTCCAGGTCCAGGTCTGGGTCTGGGTCAGATCCAGTTCTGGTTCTGGGTCCAGGTCTGGCTCCGGTTCTGGGTCCAGGTCCAGGTCCTGGTCCAGGTCCGTGTCCGGGTCCCCGCTCTGCCGCGGCCCGCCGCCCCCGGGCTGCCCCCCCGCGGGACGGAAGCCGCGCCCGGCTCAGCCCGGGTTTCCTTCCTGCGCCTTGGAGGGAAGCGGGATGGGGGGCGGCCCCCCCGCTCCGGCAGCCGGACACGGCCTCGCTGGGGGGGGCTGGAAACGGGGGCGTTTCCCCGCGCGCCCGGCCCTTCCCACAGGAAGGGCTCCAGATGCCCTCTCCATGGGGTCCCACATGGCCTCACCCCCAGCGTGGGGGCCCCCCTGCCCCCCCTGCAGCCCCACAGGGCCCTATATGCGGGGCAGGGGCAGCGGGGCCAGAGGTGGGTGCAGCCAGGGGTGCCCAGAGGAGCAGCTGGGCAGCCTCAATGGGCAGAACTGGGTGGGGGTGCAGGGGGACACAGGGCTCCGGACATCCGTCCCACACTGGCCCTGGGAAAGCGGGACCCCGTCCCCGCGCCCGGCAGTGGCCCCAGCAAGGAGCAG